GCGTTTCAGCGTGTGTTGGGACCTCCTGGGGAGGGCTTCAGGGTACAAGAGGGGGCAGACTCAGGGTGCCAGGACAGGGCTGCGCTGGGCGGGACTGGTGGGGTGGCGGAGGAGCAGTTCCCAGGCTGATGTCTAGCCCTCACCCCCAGGACGTGACATCCCCACCTGGCGGGGCTGGGGACTGCAGGCTGCTGGGCCTGGAGAAAATGAAAGGAGGCTCGGCTGGGCTGCGGTGGGGTTGTGGGCTCCCCATGCACCCCGCCCCCGCCCCCCTGGTCTTGCCTGAGATGCTTGTTACTGGGTTTTGGGCTGGGGGCTGGGGGGAAAGTCACCTCCTGTCTGTGTCACCAAGACCTCATCTCCAGAGAGGGGCCTGCAAGCCTGCATGGGGACAGGCCGTGACCCTATCTGTTGGGGTCACTGCAGCCTGTGCAGAAGGGTAGGGAGTCGTGGGGATTGCAGCTTTCATGTGACTGCGGTTAAAAATAAAAGATATCTGAGGAGGAGGCCATTCGAAACAGGAAGCACCTGAAATTTAAATTCCTTGCTGCCACATGCGTCCTCCAGGCATTCTGCGTAACCCCAGCAGGGACTCAGGACCAGACACATCTGGGCGGGTGGGGATTTCCACGCAAGTTTGGGAATTATCAGCTGGAAAGGGAGAAGTCGCCAGGCTGGGTGAAAACAAAACCTTTGGTTTTCCGAAAAGTCCCTTCCTGGCCACTTTCTCCCTGACACGTGACCCACGGGTGCCCCAGCTTGTGGGTCCCTGTTCTGGGGACAGAGGGGCCCTCACCATGTGGACGCCGGAGGCCGTGATTATCCTGGAGGGAGTGGGGCTCAGCAGGCTGGCCTTGGGAATCCTCGATGGTGCCAGCATATAATCCTACAGCTCCTGAAGCAGAGGCAGGAGGGTCACTGTGAATGTGAGGCCAGCCTGGGCTACATACCAAGACCCTGCCTCAGAAAAATTAAAACACACACACACACGCACACACATATGTATACATACATGTAAACACATAAATGCACTCAGCCTCATCCTGAGAGGACACCCTATGAAAGGCCGAATCTCTGCTCGTGCCAGGTAGGGGCTTCCCTCAGATGGGCAGCAGGCTAGGGCCCCAGCTTGTGGGTTCCTGCGGGGTTGGCCCAGGCCACCAGTCACAGAGGTCAGTGCTTCACTGAGTTCCCCCTGTGCACAGAAGGCTGCTTCGTCCAGGTGCTGGTGGCCCAGCTCGGCCCCACGTGGGGGAGCTGACCCAGGCCACAGATGCTGCCCATGGGTGCCATCTGGTAGTCGGCGGTCCCAGCTCCTGCCGTGGCTCTGCTTGTACATGGTGGAGTGCAGCTGCAGGTGAGGCCCTCAGCCAGCGCTTTCCTGACCGTGGAGGACTGGACACCTGGCTTCCTGGGCCTCTGGCGTGCTCCTGGCTGCCTCCCTGGTGCTCGCAGCCTGGCAGATGGCCTTGCCCATGAGGCGCCATCGGCTGGAACAGCAACCACACACCGAGCTCCTTCTGCTTTTTATTTTTAACCGTATTTTTTTCTGAGCCAGCGCCTCACTCCGTAGTCCAGGCTGCCCATGAGCTCTCAGCACCCTCTTGCCTCAGCTTCCTCAGTGCTGGGATCGCAGGTGTGCATGACCACACCTGGCAAAAGTGTGTGTTTGTGCGTGTTTGCAGCGCATGAGGAGGGAGTGGGGAGTGGGTCCCATGCACAGCCTGAGCTCGGGTCTTTGCGCCCTTCTCTTCTTCCCTACCTCTTGGTTCTCTTCCTACGCGTGAAGGAGCTGTCTCTGTTCCCCTCCCCCTCCCCTCCCTCTCTCCTCCCTCTCTCCTCCCTCTCTCCTCCCCTTCTCCTCCCCTTCTTTTGGTGGTACCAGGGATCTAACCCAGGACCTTGAGCTTACCCAGCAAGCACTTTTTCCACTAAACTATCTCCCTGGCTCCCCAGTTTTTTGTTTTTTTTTTGGCCTAGCTCAGGCTGCCTTAAGGGAGGGTCTGGTGCAGCTTGTGGAGCTGGGGATTAAACTGCGGTCCCCTGCCCCTGACTGAGCTTGCCCAAGCGGGCGCATTAAACACCTGAGATAACCCTAACCCCCCTATTTGTCTTTCTTTTTTTTTGCTGTTTTGCCAAGTTTTTATTATATTGTATATTATGTACTTTTAAAAGGAACATAAAATACAGCATCAAATTCTTAAAAATATATATATATATGTATATATAGTACATTTAGAATAATCATTTCACATCAGCTGTGTACTTGCTTACAAAAGCTAAAAGATAATATAAAAAATAAATGTCTTCATGAACTACAATGAAAATACAAACAGAACTCTACAACAAAAATAATCTTTGCTTCAACTGTCAC